TGTTTGCAGGCTGTGTGTGCTGTCCTACTAGCTGTGTGTGAGGCACTGTGCTGAGGTTGTGCCTCTGGCGGGGGCTGGTGGCTGTCAGAGCGGTGGGGCTCTGCACGGAGCTGTGGACGTCACAGTGTCTCATTGGGATGAGATTCTTGACATTATAACATTGGTTTTACGCAGAAGGAAGCTTTACTCCTGCTTCCTTTTGGGAGTGCTGCTGCTCAGGACCTGTCTGCTGAAGAGGCTTCGGGCATGTTCCAGCAAGGGAGGTTTTGTGCAAATTCCAGCAGCCGTCTTGCAAAGACAGGGAATGAGGTTTAGTTGCCCCTTGAGGTTCTTGCAGCTTCTTGCTCTTCGGCTGGCATCTTCCTACTGAGTACTCCATGCTGGAATGCTCTGCAGGTTGCCACTGGCACGCAGGCATGTTTGGAAGTCAGCACCTTTTCTCTCTTATAAGAACCTCTGGGTTCTTAATACAGGCAGATTGTTTCCTCGCAGCTCCCATCTTGGTGATACCCAAGAAATCCTGTGCTTGATGTCAGAGGCTGCAATACAGTGTCGTCAGAGGGTGGAGAGCTGAGGTGGAGCATCAGAACTGTGATCTGCTAAGCAGATACATGATCCCTTGGGGCTGTGTCCCCCAAGAGACAGGTGTTTGTAGGCTGCTCTGTCTTATCCTGGTCACAAGAGAATGGTATTTGCAGAAGGACCCCACGTGTCTGTTTGGAGGTGAGGGCTGTGCCCACTGGATTGAAGCAAAGCACTGTGAGAGGACAGCAGTGTTCTCTGGATACCTGACAACAAAGTGACAGCAAACCAAATGCCGGGTCTCAGTGATTTTACTGGAGCAGTGGGACTTACTGCAGAACATCTATTTCTAAGCAAAGTATAAATGATTTAAACGTGAGCACAATAAGCAAAATGCGAACCATTCAAAATGAGCATACTAAATGAAACACAAACAGTTTAAGCACGGGCGTACTGAAGCAGAGGATAAGTACACTTGTCAAATTGACAAGGGATGGTACTTTTATGATTAATTTCACCCACTGATGAGCCACAGTCGAGGATGCTGTCGACCTCTCATATTCTGTCTGATGACATCAGACTTCTCTGCCAGGCAGCACCCCTGGACCAGCTGGCAGGAGCTACTCTGAACTGGGAGCTGCTCTTCCTGGCTGGTAGGAGAGCAGCAGTGTGGAGGCCGAAGGCTGCTGGTCCATGAGTTGCAGGCTGTTGACTGGTGAATAGCTTACCTGTGCCACTGAGGAGGACCTTACCCAGGCCACTCTGAGCAACTGAGTCGGTCAGCACAACTGTGTCACCTGTGAGCAGTCTGTTGATGCCTTTAAGGAGCAGTGTGTGATAAATGACAGATTTCTTAAATCGCTGTGTAAATTGTTGATTGGCACCTTACAGGAGCATCCCTTTGTTCTATGGCAGACCTGAGGAAAGAAGCGTCCTGCCACATATGCAGCACTGGCAGAACGTGTTGTGTCACTTTGGTTGTCCACAAATGTCTCCTCTCATTCACTAAGGCTGCATTTCAGATAAAACCTTCCTCTTCCTCCTGTCCGTGCAGCTGCACGGCTTGTCAGAAGAGGTAGGGACTGCAAACCCTGGGCTGCTTCTGAGACATCTCTCTGCTCCTCCGCTCTTCAGCAAATCAACAGAAATGGGTGCTCCCTGTGGATCTGGGAACCCTATTGCTCAGAGAAAGAAAATTTTAGGTTGGATCAGCTGAATTTCCTTTTCTTTCTCTGTTGTGTTTCCACGTCACCTCGCATGTCACGCTGGCCTTGGCCACGGATGCAGTCTCATTGAAACGATACTGTTTTTGAACAAGGATCTTGTAACTTGGCACTGCAGCATCTCCTGTCCTGAGTGCATCTCCTCAGTCCAGCATCCCCATTTACACAGCTGTCTTTAAAACAATTTTCTGAACTGTTTATTACTGGCAGTCAAACTTTGGCTTGAACCTGAGTGCTGGGTGCTTAGCGCGTGTCACCAGTTCAGCTGCAGGGTTGCTGGGATGTGTTCCTCCGTGCCTTTCATTGTTTGATCGCGTTCCCTGCTGCCTTCTGCTCAGCAAGAGGAACTTTATATACATTTCTGCTTGTAGACACGAAGTGCTATGGGTCCATTTCCTTATCACTGGTCTCAATGAAGGCTGACTGCACAGGTACCGAGCCTGAAACTAGTAAATTTTCACACTGTTTTGTCAGGCTTACAATTCCCATGCTGCACCCTTGATCCCTAGATGAGAACAAGGATTAGCTTATTGTTATTGCTTCCTCTTGGCCATAAAACAGAGCACGGGCTGGGGAGCTCTCTGAGATGTTTGTGTGCTCTTATGAAGCAGCTGATCAGAATTCAGATGAGGCTTTGGATAGATTTATTGAAGTGACACAGTGTGCGCGGTACACGCTTTGAGTTAGGACATGAAAGAGTGGTGCATTCCCAGCAGCAGAAGGCATTAATGAAATATGTTCCTGTTACTGACTTCCTTTGAACTGTCACCTATGACTACAGCAACTGCATTTGCGGGGCTGCGCAGCACTTACTGATGTGCAGCTAGCGAGTGAAATGAGTAAAACATCTCCTGTAGCAGAGGAGGCAGTGGGGATGTTAGGGCTTCTGCAGCCACTGGTGCAGGGAGCTCCTCTGGAGCCGTGGGGCACAACTGCTCTGTGCTGCAAAGCTGGTGGCCAGCTGTGGCACGGGCACACTGCCTGCTGTTACGAGGGGATGCTGCCAGCAGCTGGCACCTCTTTGAGGGTGGACTTTGCTCTTCCCCAATGACACGATTTTTACCCACAAGAAGAGGAGGATTGAAAATAATGCCCTGCTCCTTGCCAGGGGAATTGGCAGGGGTGGGCATCCTGCAGCTGTGATAGTACTGATTGGCCACAGCTGTATGGGGTGCTGCTGCATCCCAAAATGACATCTGTAAATCAGGGCCAGCGCTCTCTGTGCAGGTGGGGTCACAGTTACCATTCCTTCTGCTTTGCCAGTTGCAGGGCTGTGTCCAGAAATGCTTTGTATGCATGTAACACTCCATTTGGAAGCTCTCTCACACCGTCTGCTTACGTCTGACTTACAACGAGGTGTGAGCTTGCATGGGCTTCTCTCCAGGAGCTTCAAACCCCCAGGTTTCACATGGTAGCTCCTCCTGCCTACCTGGGACCCAGGCCGGCTGCTAATTGTTGTGCAGATGTCGTGTTCCAGGCAAGCATGAGGTTGTAGGCTTTAAAGAGGCTGTGCTGTCACTTGCTACCAGCCTCCTCGGTACACGTGAGCTCTATTTATATGGGAGTGCGCATTTTCTTTCAACCACTGCTTTGTTGAATTTCTTTTTCTTCTTTTCTCTTTTTGTTTCCAGACTTGCAGGTGAAATGTTCAGGATACATCAATTTTTCATTATCCCAGCTTTGCCACTTTTTTTTTTTTTTGCCACTAATATTAGGAGAACAACCTGTTTCTTATGTAAAAAATCAGCAGTTTCTTCTGAGGTGAGCAGGGGGGAACCTTTTTGTTTTGGTCAGTCTGGGGTCCTGAGTGTGGCATTGGCTAGAAGGACACGCGTGCTTGCTGAGAGCTGATGGATTTTGAGCCCACAAGTACTTCTGTGGGTTTTAGTTGTAGCTATGTTGCATTTGGCAGCATCCTAAGCGAGAAGTGTGGATTTTGGCCACAGGTTGACTTTGCTACCTTCCTTGGTGTGATTCTTTGCCTTGATAGAAATGAGGAGACTATCAAAGAAAGGTGCTGGCCTACATCTACTCCAAAAGCAATTACACAAGTTCATGGGTGGGGAAGAACATTAAAAAAGTAATTCCACTGGGGGCTGGTGAGCTTTCAAGATAGAAGCTGCTGTTCCTTGTCCTTCTCCTTTGGCAGGAGCCGGTGTCAGGTGCACCTGTGGTTCCCCAGCATCCAGGCTTCCTGCAGGCCAGGTGGAATGGAGTAGCAGCTTTCATGGGCCCGGACTCGGGCAGGTGCCAGTTCAGGTGTAAGCCTCGCTGGCATCAGGGCAGGTTTGGCTGAGGAAAGAGCTGATGGATTTGGTCCTGACAGCTCTGTTTAAAGCTTGTTTTTGATTTTGTGGAAGTAGAAGGTGGTTGCGCGAAGGAGAAAAAAACTGTGATGCTATTTGCCATCCTGATGGACAACAGAGGGAGAAAGATATTTAGGACTGCATGTATGGGAGGAAATTCTTTAAAACCTGGATAGGAGTAGGAGCGGGCTTGATGGAGGGATGAGTAATGAAGGAGTGTTTGAACGGAACTAATCAGTCCCATCTTCTTTCAAAAGACCTCATTTAGTTTAATTTAGCAGCGTGTAAATTTAGAGCCAATCAAAGGAAATGCTTCTCCAGCCTGCATGCTGGCAGCCTGCTCCCCTCCCCACCCAGCGCGAGGACAGGCGGGCTGAGCTGCATGCTGCCTTGCCGTGAGCGTGGCTGTTCTTTTTATGGGTAAATAAACCTGCAGCTCTGCACTAGGCTGGCTGGTGGCCTGCTTCTGCCCAGAGCCCATGTGCTTGCTGTGTGGGTGCCCTGTCCCTCCAGCACGAGCAGAGCCAGCCCCGGTGCACGCAGTGGGAAGGCCAGCACCAGGGCAGGCGGGGAAGCCTGGTGCTGTAGGAACTGCTGAGTAAATCTTGTTCATCTCTGCAAAATGTTGTAAACAAACTGTAGCAGGACCACAACTGAGTTCTGTTTTTCCTGGTAGTCTCTTCATATTTTCCAGGAGACGTGAGCCCCTGCAGGGTCAGTGCAGAGTGCTTTGTCATTACCTGCCATAAACTCCATTAGCAGCAAAGTAGGCACCCTGTGCATTGCGTTCCCCTGGACGAGATCCGTGAGCTGACACCTAGGTCTGATGTGTCCTGCCACCTCACAGCCCTGAGCCTGTGCAGTGGTGAACAATATTGTGTAAAGAATGCTGAAACCTGTGAAAATTTGTTCTAAAGTATTCTTGGTTTTGTTTTCCTTTGCTTTGCAGGTGAGTGGCAATGTCTCACTGGGCCGGTTTCCCCTGCGCTGTTGCCAGAGTCAGCCTGCTGCTCCTACTGCTTTCTGCAGTGTTTTTCTGGTCAAGCCTAAGCGACAGAATTCCTGTAAGTGTGTGGATACTGGGTTTGCAGAGGGTTGTTCAGCCTCTCTGGTGGGGTCACACCTCCCTTGTCACATGGAGTCTGACAGCAGTTGGTCTGTTGCTGCTCCCCTCCTCAATAGCTGTTCAATAATAACGTTTCAAAAGGGCTTCTTTCTTGAAACTTTGCCTCGGCCTCAGGAATTGCACTGTAATGTCAGTTAAAAGGGTTTACAAAGGGAGCTGTGCTCTTGGGCAGCTCTCATTTGCTGGGTGTCACTGTTTCTATTTGGGGCTGTCACATGTTCCTCCATGCCAAGAGCCAGAGCTAATGATGTGGTCTAGTGGCAAGAGGAGATGGCCTCAGTTATTCTGCTAGCTGTGCCTCTGTTGAGTCACTGCAAGTGAGTCAGGTTTAGAAGAGCACCCTCTTGGGTCCTCGTATCTCACTTGCCCACATTTTGCTACTTGTGGTATTTTGAAGCTGTGGCTGCGGTGGGTGGAAGCTTTCTGCCCTTTGCGTTTGTCCAGGTATGCAGAATTACCCCCATTCTGCTTCTAAGCCCAGGTGCCCAGCCCTGCCAGATCAGATCTGGGAGGTTTCCTTGAGGTGCTTGCACAAAGGACACTCTGTAGCAGTGCAGAGTGGAGTTTTGTTTGTTTGGATGTTTGATTTTGTGTGTGGGTTTTTATTTAGCTTAATTTATGCTGTGGCTTAAAATTGATTTCTGCAGCAACACCCACAGGGGATTACTGGCCTCCCATGTCCCTGGATGCTTGCTCCTGCCTAATGTGTCACAGCTTGCTGGTCTGTTGGTTGTGTGGGCTGTGCTATTAACCGGAGCATATGTGAGGGGCAGAATAAAGTATGTGCTCTGCAGGCCTAGGATCCATGTGGAGTCAGGTACTGATGTGATAATTTGTCTTCGCTGCAGAGAGGGCAGGGAAGAGGCTGGAGGTGGAGTGTGGTCAGCTCAGCTGTAGCAAAAAGCTGGGGAACGGGTGTTGGGACCACCAGTGCACCTGCCTGAGCTGGCAGGCAGCCTGAGGTGGAGGATCACGAGTCCCATCAGCTCAGTAGGTCGTTACTTTTTGGATCCCCTTTTCCTGTGCTCCCTTTGCATCGGCTCTGTGGTGGCTGCATCCCTGGGAATAAGCTGCAGGTTGTCTCAGCTGTCCCTGCCGATGGTCCTCAGCTTACTGTAGTGGATTCAGACTGATCCAAGGAAGGAGGATTTTTTATAGCTTTAAGGAAATTTCCATTGGTCTTTAGAAAACATCTTTCTTCTTCTTAATTGTGAAATCAAACCAAAAAGGATTCTGCATAACGATGTGGTTTGTCACTGCATAAATGAAGGCTTGTGTGGCATTGCCTTTTTTCACCACTCTGGAGATGTTAATGACACACAGGGTATTGCAAAGCAGTTTGGGGCCAAACTCTGACAGTTACATTTGAGCAGGCCGGGACCCGTCCTCTTGCCCATCTAGAACATTTAGAGCACAGCTCTTCTGCTGAGCAGAGGCCGTAAACATCAGCCATCTCCATTAAGTGTTTCAACAGATACAGCAGTCAGAGGCCTGTCAGTGAATTTACAGTGGACTGGGTGGGTAAGTCCCTCTTGGATAATAATACAGCAGTGCAAACAAGCTAAGTAATAACTGCGCTCACTCATTCATTTCGGTCCTGTTGAGTCTGGGCTCAGAAAATGTTAACATTGATTTTCATCAGTAAAATTTGGCTTTTTATGTTTATGATTGTTACTGAGCTTTAACCATTTGTCATAATCTTAACAATTTCAAGCCTTTAATGCACTGAGCGAAAGCTCTGTTAAGCTCTGTTTTTTCCAGTGGATTTCTGAAGTTTCAATCCCTTTTGACAGGCAAGATAGAAGCATTCTATAGATTTGTCAACCATTCTAATGTGTTACACTATCATGGCTAATTGGATGTGTTTTGCTCAGACTGCTGTTTCTCTCGCTCGGAAGCGCTCTCCTTGACCTGATAATATTTATATGCAAAGCATCCAGATTCTGCCAGCAAACATACACTCTTTTTTCCAAGGAGTGAAAGGAGTGAAGGCAGAACATGGCCTGAAACTTCCAGTTAACCTCTTAATTATCTTGTTTTTTCTTTCCCCTCTGTGAAAATATTGTAAGATTTAATATCACAACACTTCATGAAGTGAGCTGGCTGTAACTCTTATTCTAATTGCCAACAATTAGGAGTTGTCTTTCCCTATGGACTGGCTATTTGAAATCATTCTGCGGTGCCATTCTTGGCAGTATCAGAAGCAGATAATGCTTCCTGCAATGGAAACAGAGCTATCTGGATGATTAGCCTGGACTGGGTTATCTGTTCCTGTGAGAACCAGAACAGCAAAACCCAGCTTCCCAAGCACTTAATAGTCTGCTGTGAGATAGTACAGGGCTGTTACTTGCCATGCACTCTGAACGATTTTGTCCTTTGAGGTTTGTGGTGACTCCCACCAGCTCCCTAGGGAGACCTTGCAGTGAATACTGAGCTTTCCCTAGGGGGCAAGGATTTTTTTTCCTGCTTTTCATCCCTGTTTTTCCCTTTGTACAACTCCATGCCCCTCCTGCTAACTGTTCTACCACACTTCTGTGTCCACGTGCAGCAGTTGCAAGGTGAGTGGTGTGTAGATCACTGCCTCATAGCTTGAAAGGGCTTGTAGGGCACTGGGGTGTGCAAAGAGAAGGATGCTCGTGTCTTCATCGCGCGGGCCGGTCGGTGTGTTTTCATGTGTCCTATTTTGGAAATAGCTGAACTATTTTGGTTGAAATCGTCTCCAAGCCTGAAATAAGTGCATTTAAGGGAAAAAAAAAATAAATGCTTGAGGCGTTCCAGTAGTGTGGAAAATTTCAGCTGAAAAAGTTTGAAGTTTGACATATTTTTAGGTGAGGGAAAACAGGGTCCTACGATGTTACACAAGGCCTAATAATAGTCAGGGCTCGTGGCTCCAGCCAGAAGATAGGTGAGGCTCTGCAGAAGCTTGTTTTAAGCCTGCAGCCTGCCCTGGAATAGGAAATAAGCTGCGTTGCTTTGTTCAGCACAAATGTCATGCTAGTTATGCATGTTTAACCTTTAATATACTTTAAATCTAAATTTAACCATGTGGAAAGAATCTGGGATGTCAAAAAAAAAAAAAAATCTGCTGGCGAGGGAAAAATTTGGTATTCTCAGCCGGCACTGAATTAGCCAGATGCGATTGTAATGAGCTGAATCTCTTCTGTCCAAAAGGAATTTGCCCTTACGAAAATAGAAGAGAGCGACACGAGAGATGGCAGCGGGAAAGAGCCAATAGCAGATGATGGCGCTGATCCCGAGGACCTGGAAGTGTTTTACCCGACGCGTCAGTGGCAGGCTGTCCGTCCAGGTAACGCTGGTGACTAATTGTAGCGTCCCTCTGAAACCTCATCTGACACCTCCGACAGCAGCCGTGCAGAAAAACTAAAAATACCTATTTGTTCCCATGACGATGTATTCTTCTGCTGCTGTTCAGACGGAGAGGAAACGGACCCAGTGACCCAGTACAGAGAAAAGCCACCATCACCAAACCGGCTGGCAACAAGAGTGGCTGCTGAAGTGCTTTCAGTTCAGCAGGGCAGGTCGAGCGGGCTGCCGGTCACGTTGTAGGTGGTGACGTGTCTCGGTCACTAGCTCCAAAGCCCTTTCTCTCTTTGTGTGCTTGTCAAGACTCAGATTTTATAGCATTTGCTGGCACGCGGTACCTCAGGTCTGCTGCGCTCCAGTGTGGGCTGGTGACACGCAGCTCGGTGGCAGTCTGATTAAGAATTGTCACTGTAGCACTACACAGCTTCTTAACAATGGGATTTCTGTTCCTTAGCTGAATGAACCACGGCTTCTATTCCTCAAATCTTAACCCATGCATCCCACAAAAAAAAATCTCGTCAGTTATTTTGAGTTGGTATCTTTTGTTAGACATTTATGGGACGACGTGTATGAGAAGGCACCAACTGAGCAGGCTGCTTCACTGCAAATCCTGTGCTGTGGGCAAGGCTTTGCAGAGGATAAGCCCATTTAAACATGTGGAAATGCACGAGTGCACCCACTTTGGTAATTAGGACGATCATTAAGTAAACTCGGTGGTTTTGGCCAAGGTGTTTAACCCACTTGTGCACTGTTGTCCTCATGTGTGCACAATGTGCCATCGCACCTCAGAAGCATGGACTAAGCAGTAATTAATTTTTATGAAGTGCTCCTAATTTCTAAGAGCTCTATTCAGCGTTCAGTATTATTATTGAAAGAACAAACATGGGATCCATTTATCTTGAAATTTCTGCCAGTTAGAGCAAGATTACCTTTCAAATACAAGTCTTTCTCTAACAGAAATGTCTAGCAAAAGCCCCTAAATTTATCAAAGCTGCACTGTACACTTAGATTTCATTTCTGTACCATTATGTATGGAAGGCATGTGGTGTCCCTGCTCAGTATGCAGACTGGCAGATCCCTACCACCCTTGCTGAAGCAGAATATGGATATACTTGCAGTTATTATAAATGTCATTGCCGTTTTTGTTCAGAAGTACCTTCTCCATTGCTTGGGTGTTTTGTTCCATTTTATTTTTGTAGAAATTCCACATTAGGTATGTGCAGTAAAGGACTTATGGAAGCAGAGCACTTGTCAGCTGTAGGGAAAGAATTTCAATTACTGCTGTAAAAAGGCTTAAATGGTGGCCTGCTCGTGACAGATTCTCATTACAGGTATGTGTGCAGGCTTTGGTCAGAAACAACAGGATAAAAGGAGTCTTCTCTGGCAGCCTCCTGCCAGCCTGTTTTTTGCCTGCTGCAGGTTTGGCTGAAGTGAAATCTTGTGGTGGCCGCGTGCTTGTGTTGTTAGCACATGTTCTGCTCATTCCACAGAGGGATGCGGGCTGGCAGTGTGACCAGTCCAGCAGCTCTGCATGTTCCTTGTTTCCTGACGTGATTCCTGTGCCCATAGCTGCGTGCCCTGCTGGCTGCTCCAACTGCTGTGTGCTCGGCGCTGCCCAGGGGAGGCTGCAGCCAAGCATTCCAACTCTGCTGTCCTCTGCCCGGCTCTGGGTTGACCTCCTGCTGTCCTCCATTGCTATCTGTGTAGCGACCTGTGTCCTTCTTTGCCAGAGGGAGCAAATGTCACTCACACTCTGGATCTTCAATTTTAAATAGAAGAGAGGTCGGGGTCCCGTTGCCCCTTGTCGCGTTCGTTTTTCATCTCGTTCCTGTTCTGAGCTCAGTGCAGGGTTTTTATGCTTGTGTCCGGTCCCACGGCTGCTCAAATTTTATACTGTATTGCTGGTTTTATTCTGCTGCTTTTCTTGTTCCTTTTTGCTAATTGCGTCAAACCGCATTTCCACCGAGACTGCAGCAGTGTCATCAACCTGTAACCTGTCAAATCTCTCCACGAAATTCAATTGTTATTGTATATGTAACGCTGCTTTGTACAGTCGTTCCCTCGCTGCCTAAAATGTGAGCTGGGTTTTGATCAAGTTCTACCTTGTGCTTTGTGCACGCTTCAAGCTGCTGGAGGTAGCTGGATGCAAACACGGAGAGACAGTTACCCAAAGAGCTCTGCCTCCTGCAATCGGGAAGCTGGGAGATCAGCTGTCTCCTCTGCCAGCAGGCCGGGCAGCTGACAAGCTGCAGAAGGTTGGTGAAACTTCACCAAGTCCTTTAATGCATTTGTTAGGCATTGCTTCTTTTGCACATGGTACTGAATAATAGAGCAGGCGCTGCTGGGCTGGGCACAAAGGATACGTGCCCCGTCAGACGTCTCCCGGCTCCTCCACGTGTCTTTCTGGTATCACCTAGGGAGATGATGAAGATGTCTGCAGGGCTTTTCTCTCTGTGGTTTGCATCTTTCAGAACTTGTGGGATGCTTGGATTTTAATGAGTGGCGTTGCAGTGTTCTTGGAATGAGTGTTCACACCGGTGACTGCATCATGTCCCATCTCAAGTCCCATCACAGAGCAGAATTTTATTTTTGAAATGCTTCTTCTAAGTTTTCTGTTCTAGCTGCACTTTCAGCAGATAATGGTACCCTTATGAACTCAAAGCTCTCTGGAGAAACCAGCAGAAGTGACCTGCTTTTGTTTCTTGTATTGAGCTCTTCCAAGTGCATGGAGGCGAGTCTGTCAGCATGCAGGAGCGCCCTATTTCCATGCTTTTCAAGGCATTCTTTGTTGATTGGTGTAACCAAAACCTGATCCTTAGTCTTTGCGATGTCAGAGACCACTGGAAGCTTTGGATGGGGTTCTTGTTAAAGAAGTGCGGACCATTTCTTGTGTTTGTGTGGGTGGCCATGATGGTGAGGCTGCCCTTGAGATTATTATTGTCATGGCCCTTCTGCTCTGCTGTTCACACTGATCACACTGCTCTTCACAATTGATCACATTGATCAATTTTTTGGACTCTTGTGTGTAAATGCATTTGTATGCCATGTTCCCATGCAGCCTCAGCACAGCATTCTAAAGCACATTAATACTTCATTTACAAAGCATTACCTGTTTTTGTCATTTGGGCACCCTGTTTCCTTCTTCTTTGTTAAAGAGCTATTCCTTCTGATGGATGAAAATTGGGTTGCTCTGATTATCTAATCACATCACCAAGCAGCAGTTTTTCCACTTGACATTAGCATCAGAAGTTGCTCCTCAGGGAAGGCATTGCTGCAAAAAAATGTACTGGCAACTCTGTAAAGAATCACTTTATTAGATACCTAAATGCCAGGAAACCTAATATGTAATTTTGAGTGCCCATGCTGGTTTATACCAAAGGTTGTCCAGTCCAGCATCTCATCTCGGCCATCGCAAGTGGAAGTGCCTGGGGCAGACTAAGGGCAGTGGATGTGTGTAATGCTGTGCCCTGTACTTCCAGAAGCTGCCTCTGGTTCCAGGGCTGTGTGGAGCAGAGCTGAGATCTTTCTGGGCTGGTTTCAGTGGTTTGCTGCTTTTCTGTTTCCTTCTTGCATTCACAACCACTCATATTTTCAGGTTTTTTCTTTGGCTTTTTCTGTCTGCTGCGATTCTAGACAGCTGTGTAATTCTTTGAAGAAGCAGAAAAGGCAGCTATTTAACAGGAAGGAAAAAGGATTAACTGCCTTTGCCATAGCAGTGACCAGCGAGGTGGGGAGCCTTGGTCCCACGGTGCAGCTGCAGATGGGCTCTGTGCAGCTCAGTGACAGCAGCACTTCTGCATTCCTCAGCGTGGCAGGAGCTAGCTGGCAGCTTTCTGGTCCGTCAGTTTAAAGTTGTGAATTAATGTGTCCAGTCTCCAAATCCAGATGGATCAAATGGGAGTCTCATCTGCCCCCGAAATGAAAATATTTACAGGCTGCCTTGCATGCTTTCCATTTGAGAGCAGCCAGTGATGGCACTCGGGAAGCCCTCCTTTGGTCCAGAGTAACAGAGCAAAATCTCGTGCTAGTGGCTGACGTGCAGCAGCACTGGATCTGTGTCAGGTTTGGAAGACAGATGTTTGTATCTACACTGATGGAGCACATGCTGCAGGAGCTGGGCTGGCCTTGGACCTTCAGCTGTTGTTAAACTTCTGACTCGCAGAGCTCCATGCTGCTACCTGCCGTTACTCTGTAGCATCTGTACTGTGCAGAGTCATTTTCCTAAGTGCCTAATTATATTGCAGTTAAAAAATAAGGAGCCATGACTGCTGCTGTTGATCAAACTGCAAGAGAGAAGTTGATACGAGCATGCTGTTGTTGCTGCTTCTGTGAAGATGAAACCATCTTAAGTTCAGCGGGGAGCTGATGATACATCACTTAGCATTTAAATATCCACGGCTGCAGCTTCCAAAGGTCCTCGGGCTGCTTTCTCTGTCAGTAGCTATCTTTGCTGCTCGTATTTGTCCCAGGTCTTCCTGTGTGTCATTTGCTGCACAAACAAAGTTTTATGCATACGGAAACATGATTCTCAAAGAAAACATTCACACTGGGGAGGTAAGTTCAGAAGTTGCTTTGAAAGACTTGCTGAGATGCTGTTTGAAAAAGGAAGACTGAGGATGGGGAATAACTCCATCCAGCTTTGTTGCTAGTCTGTCTTTCAAGAGAACTCAGCATCCAAACGAGCCAGCACTACTGGAAGCTGGGCAGAGCTTATTAAAGCTGGGAGGAGAAGGTGATGACAGGAGCAGGTTTATGCACGCAGAGCTGCCAAGTGCCCTGCCGGTCTCTGTCACTCTCCTCCCCATCCAAAGGGACCCCTCCAGCTCAGGAGTCCTGTGCCAGACCTCCCCACAGCCTCACTGGGTGTCAGGAGGTGGTGTCTGGCTGGATATCTTGCTCGTACTGCTCACCAGGCTGCCTGAGTCCTGCTAATTGCTTTGCTGAATTAATGAATCTGTCCAAATCTTTGGCTTTGGGGTGACC